ATAAAATACTTCTGAGAGAAACTAAAGAACACATCAATGGAAAGATATATGAGGTTCATGTATTGGAAAAATGAGTATTAAGCTGTCAGATCTTCCACACTCATCTACATAATTAATACAATCCCAATCATTATCCCAGCAGGCCATTTTTTTGGTAGACATTGGGAAGCTATTTTAAGACTTATATAGAAATGGAAAGGACCTAACAAAGTTGGAAGATCAACTCTACCTAGTCTTAAGATTTACTATAAAGTTTCAATAATCAAAACAATGTGGTACTGGTGAAAGGAGACAAATGATCAATGGGATAAAGAGTACAGAAATAACATGGAACAACAAAAGAGCCCAAATAGCCAAAGGAATCCTGAGAAAAAAGAACAAAGCTGGAGGTATCACAATCCCTGATTTCAAAATATACTACAAAGCTATAGTAACTAAAACAGCATGGTACTGGCACAAAAACAGATACACAGATCAATAGAACAGAATTGAGAGCCCAGAAATAAAGCCACACATCTACAGACAGCTAATCTTTGACAAAGGAGCCAAGAAAATACAATGGAGAAAGGAAAGTCTCTTCAATAAATGGTGTTGGGAAAATTGGGCAGCCACAAGCAAAAGAATGAGAGTAGACCATTATCTTACACCATACACAAAAATTAACTCAAAATGGATTAAAGACTTGAATGTAAGACCTGAAACCATTAAACTTCTAGAAGAAAACAGGCAGTAGTCTCTTCATATTGGTCTTAGCAGCATATTTTCAAGTACCATGTCTGACCAGGCAAGGGAAGCAATAGAAAAAAAATAAACAAATGGGACTACATCAAACTAAAAAGTTTCTGCACAGCAAAGGCAACCATCAACAAGACGAAAAGACAACCTAAGAATTGGGAGAAGATATTTGCAAGCCATATGTCTGATAAGGGGTTAACATCCAAAATATACAAAGAGTTCATATATCTCAACAACAACATAAACTAACAACCCAAATAAAAAAATGGGCAAAAGATATGAACAGACATTTCTCCAAAGAAGACATACCGATGGCCAACAGACACATGAAAAGATGCTCATCATCATTAGCTATCAGGAAAATGCAAATCAAAACTACAATGAGATATCACCTCACTCCCATAAGAATGGCTATAATTAACAAGACAGGAAACAACAAATACTGGAAAGGATGTAGAGAGAAGGGAATCCTTAAACACTGCTGGTGGGAGTGCAAAGTGGTGCAGCCACTATCGAAAACAGTATGGAGATTCCTCAAAAAGTTAAGAATAGATCTACCATATGATCCAGCTATTCGACTGCTGGGTATTTTTCCAAAGAACACGAAAAAATGAACGCATAAAGATACACGCACCCCTCTGTTCACTGCAGCATTATTCACAGTAGCCAAGACTTGGAAGCAACCTAGATGCCCATCAAGGGACGAATGGATAAAGAAGATGTGGTATATATACACAGTGGAATACTACTCAGTCATAAGAAATGATGAAATCTGGCCATTGGTGACAACATGGATGGAACCTGAGGGTATTATGCCAAGTGAAGTAAGTCAGAGGAAGAAAGTCAAACACCATATGATCTCACTCATAGGTAGAAGATAAAAAGAACAAGAAACAATCACACAGAGACAGAGATCGGATTGGTGGTTACCAGAGGGGAAGTGGGCAGGGAAGAGGGTGAAAGGGGTGAGTGGGCACATGTGTGTGGTGATGGATGGTAATTAGTCTTTGGGTGGTAAACATAATGTAATCTACACAGAAATCAAAATATATAACAATGTACACCTGAAATTTATACAATGTTATAAACCAATGTTAGCACAATAAAAAAAAGAGTACAGAAATAGACCCATAGTTGAACAGTCAAATGACTTCAACAAAGACATTAATGCAATTCAATGGAGAAAGAGAAGTCTTTTCAACAAATGGCACCAGATATCCATATGGAAGGAAAAGAACCTCAAGTCCTACCGCATGCTACAAACAACAATTAATTCAAGATGAACTGACCTAAAAAGAAAACATAAAACTACAAAGTTTCAGGGGGAAAAAATAGAAGAACACCTTCACCACCTCTGGGTAAGCAAATATTTCTGAGAGCACACAGAAAGCTTTAGCCACAAAACCAAAAATTGATAACTTGGACTTCATAAAAATTTTAAAACTATTGCTCATCAAAAGATGCCAAAAATAAATAAATAGGCAAGTCACAGATGGGATGAAAATCTTCATAATGCATATATCTTAAAAAGGAGTATATCCAATATATATACAGAACTCTTGAAATTTAAGAATAAAACTTCAAATAACCCAACCAAAAATGGGCCAAAGACTCAGACAGACACTTCATAAGGGAAAATACATAAATGGCCAATAAACACATGAAAAATTGCTCAACATCATTAGTCACAGGAAGATGTAAATCAAAACTATAAGAAGATACCACTACACATGCCCTAGAACGGCTTAAATGAAAGAGCTGACAACCCCAAATGTTGCTAAGGATATGGAACAACCAAACTCTCATGCATGGCAGGTGGAAATATAAAATGATACAATCATTTGGAAACTCTTTGCAGTTTCTGAAAAAGTTAAACAAAGAAACTATCCTATGACTAAGCAATTTCACCCCTAGGTATTTACCAATGAGAAATGAAAATATATGTCTATAAAAGGCTTCATGCGAGAAATCTTCATAGCAGTTTTAGTCGCAATAACCTAAACTGCAAACAGCCTATGTGATGATCCACGGGAAAATAAACTGTGGTATATTCATACAATTCATACAATAAAAAGAACTAACTACTGCCACACAACAACATGGATGTATCCTAAGGCAGATACTGAGGACTGGACGTTGTATGGCTCCATTTCTGTGACATCTAGAGTAGGCAAAACTAGTCTATGGTGACAGAATCAGAATAGGGTTCCCTGGGGCCAGGGTGTGGGAAGGGACATAAGAGAGCTTTGTGAACTCACAGAAATTTTCTGTTACCTTCAAAGGAGTGTGGATTACATGAACATGTGTATTTGTCAAACTTGTTGAACTGTACATCTAAGATCTGTGCATTCACTGCATGGAAATTATACCTCACTACAAAAGTAGACAATTTACAAATTTAGATACTGTGACCAACTTTATACCAATATATTTGACAACTTAGATGAAATGGACTAATCCCTAGAAAAATAGAACTAATCAAAAGTAACTCAAGAAAAAAACAGAGGGCCTTAAAAGTCCTTTGCCTGTTAAAGACATTGAATCAGTGGTCAAATATGTATATCCACAGAAAATTTTAGGCCCAGATGGTTACATTACTGAATTTTATCAAACATACAAAGAACTCCTTCTAATATCAAATAAATGTTTCCAAAAAATAGAAAAACAGAACATACTTCAAACTTCTTTCACAAGGTAGAATAACCTTGATACCAAAATCTGGTAAATTCAATATGTGAAAGGAAAATTATAAACCAATATGATTCGTAAATATAGTTGTAAAAATTCTAAATAACCAAATCCAACAATATATAAAAAGTACCATAATCAAGTTGCATTTATACCAGGAACACAAAGTTGATTGAACATTAGAAAATCAATGTAATTCAACATATTAACAGATTAAGGAAAAAAAATTTTTTTGATAAACAGCTACAAAAGAAACATTGCTACAACTGAACATCCACTCATGACTTTTTAAAAACAACAAAAAACAACCAAAAATTACTTAGCAAAAAAGAAAGAGAAAAGAATTTATGTTGATTAAGAATATCTACCAAAACTGTACAGAAAACGTTACTCTTTAATGATGAAACTCTGAAAATTTCCGTTTGCTGAGAACAAGCCAAGAATGCCTGCCACTGCCATATCTTGTCAACACCGCACCAGAAGTCTCAGCTAGTGCACGTACGCAAGAAAAAGAAAGAGGAAAAGAGTGCAAAGGAGGGAGCGGGAGTGCTGCTATTTACATACGAGGTGAATGTGTAAGGAAAATCCAAAATAATCTAAGGATAAATTATTCAATAAGAGTTTAGCAGAGATTACTGAATACTAAATCGAAATACACAAATCAGCAGCATTTCTACACAGTAGCAACAAACAGGTAAAGACAATGATATTTTTCAAAAAGTTGCCATTTATAACTACATAAAAATACAGAAGTACCTAGGAATAAATCTAACAGAAGATCTTGGTCTCCACAGAGAAATGTATTAACTTTGCCGGAAATCGCTGAAGATGGCTTAAGCAACGGACAGAGACAGAACATGGTCATGGGTTAAGACTGAATATTGCAAAGAAGTCAAGTGTTTCCAGTTGATTTATAAATCCAATGCAATCCTAATCAAAATCGCAACAGGGGGTGATTTCTGCCTTTTGGCTTTGTTGTATATTTTCTGGCTTTGTTAATCCTCTCTACACTGTTTACTTCTTTTAATTAAAGAAAAATCAGGTATATGAGTATCTCAAATATAAACGTACGGTTTATGTTAAAAGTATAAACTATAGTTTACAAAAGAAACCTTGGCATCCAAACCCCATTGGTTTATGTTAGATCTGCTGCCAACCGGAACGGTCCACGGACTAGTCATGTTATTTGGAAATTTTATATTGTTTGTTTTTGAAAATGAAAATAGCTTTATTATTGTTTTTGATTATAAGATATATTTAATGTTTACTGAAAAAATATTCCAATGCAGAAATGTATAAGATGTCTAGTTCCCCAGAAATAAGCACCAATATCAGCTGGATGGGTCTGCTGCCAGAGTTTGTTCTCTGCACAATTACACATGCAAACCTATTTTCCCACAGTATTCTTCACACACCACTGAAAATCATCAAATGTTGACAGCCTAGCTCCCTTCTGTATTATACTCTTACAAAGAATAAAAAAAAATGTAAAGCCTGGTATAATTTTCCCATAAGCTTTATTTGTGCCAATTTATGAGTGTGTTCAACCACTTACCACTTACAAAATAGAAACTTACTGTGTTGTATACTCCTTCAACAGCGCCTGGCCCTTCAGTGGATTCAGCCACTACTCTCAGCTTTCCAGGGGAACCTTTCTCCAACTGCTGAATCTGGTAAGGATAAACAATGTAATGATTCTATCTAAGGGTGACAGAAAATAAATGGATCACGGGGTGTACATGTGCATGAGTGTATCCGTGTGTGTGTGGATTCAGGTTTGTGAACTAAGTCGAGAGTGAGAAAAGAGGACGTCACAGTATAATTAGGAGGTAGAAAGAAGTTGATGGATTAGCTGGAGGTAGCATAAAAGGAGGAACGAAGGGATGCTTTCCGGGCATTGGCTTGATAAACTGTGCGACTGTAGTGCCGTTTACTGAGTACTGGGACAGGCTAGAAAGGCTAGCTGGGGAGCACACTTAGGTAGAACACCAAGAGTCTCATTTTTGTCTTGTTAAATTTGAAATGCTCTTGGGGAATTCAAGTGGAGATATCCAATAAGCAGCAGTAGAAATGGGTGTGGAGTTCAGGAGAGATGCGTGAAGAGGATGTATAAATCTGAGAGCCGTGAGCACTGAGATGATGAAGCATGGCCTAAAGCACTCTGCCCAGGTGAAAAGTGCAAGCAGTGAAGAGGACCAAGTACTCCGATATTTACAAGTTGAGTAGATTTGTAACCACAGGCTGCAGGGCCACAGAAGCCGAGAAAGGAGAGCGTTTCAAAGGGAAGGAAGGTCAGTTTCACCTAATGGGGCCCAGATGCCCAGGGAAGATAAGGACAGAGATGTCATCATCGGCTTTGACAACACGGAGTTTGCTACAGACCCCGACAAGCAGTTTCAAAGGAGTGGCAGGGATGGAAGTCGCTGAAGCTGAAGTGTAAAATGGAGGCAAGAAATTAGTAGCACGTACGGAAGTTTTCTTGTAAAGTGGAGAAGAAAAATGGGGACCCAGCCAGACAGGCAGAGGGGGAAGGGAGAACTTATTTGTTTAAAGATGAGAGACCCAGAAGGGAGTGAGAAAGGGGGAAAGAAGACGACTATGGGACGTCCCTGAAAAGGTGACAGGACAGTGAGAGAAGAGAGAACTCGGCCTGAGAGGAACAAGGACACCTTCTCCATATCAGAGGAGAGAGGGACAAGTGGGGTCAGTTTCATAGATTTGGGGTGGGAACACTATCTTTAAAGTTTCCTATTAAGTACAGACTAACTTATTTAATGAAATGAAGGAGGGATAAAAGAAAAAGCTAAAGAGGGAGTAAAGAGAAAATAAAAGGAATTCCAAATGTCGCCCAGACTTACCATCACAGGCACGAATTTTCTTAAGAACTTAACACCATGTTGTTCCATGTAGGAACCCACTTTCTCTGCCATCTCTTGATCAAAGCCACGAAGAAGGATTGAGCGCACCATAACCGTGACATCCAAGCCGAGGCCCGCCAGAAACCCTGCACATTCCAGAGCAACGTAAGATGCACCCACTACTAACGTTTTGCCAGGGCAATAAGGCAGAGAAAAAAGGTCATCACTGAAAGATAAAAATAAAGGAAAGAATGCCTAGGTAATGAAAACGGAATGTGTTACTTAGGTTTCCACGTGTAACGGGCTTTTGTTGGCTGAATGGCTATCTAGTGCTCGAAGAAACACTAAAACAAACGGGCTGCTGGAGGTTGTGACAGTGTCTACAGTGGAGTAAGAAGTATACTTCAGTGTTTTCAGAGTCAAATCAGTGGCTCACAAGCAAAGTTTTTTAAAAATAAAATAGAATATAAAATATTGACTCCATTATATGTGATAAGAAAAAATACTGTTTTGTCTGTCTTGGATTTGTGAGTGTGTGTGTGTATGTGTTCACCTGAACAGCGGCACAATGAAAAATGTATTTCTTACTGAGCATCTGGTCAAAAACGTTTGAAGGTCACTGCACCACGTTACACAGTGTCTTCTTCCTAACTGCCCAGGAAATCCCCGCCAAACCTCAGCATTTGGAGCAGCCATGCTTCTCCCGATCAACCAGTTCACCATGACCACACAGACACGAAAACCAAAAGCTAACCGGATTCACTTCTTTGCTTTGGCCTCTAGGAAGTTTAGAGCCAAATTCCCAGACCGATTCCCAGAGCAGGTACCTAGAAACATACAGCATACTTTTGTGCAGAAATCTGACCTTATTATTTACCTAGCCTTACTTTCTCTTTGCTCCATTATGTTAATTATTTAGCTTCTTGCCCTGTATGTACTTTTATTCATCATCAATTCAAATCTTTTGTGAAACAAGACAGGGAATAAATAAATTGGAAACATAAACACACAGCAATTTACAGTTAAAACAGGCTATTTTATCTCACCTGGTAATGCAGTATTCTTTATCTCCTTGGATCCCTAAATACCGTGGCCTCTCACCTGTTGCAATGACAAATTTGGCAGCAGTGTAACAAGTTTCCTGTCCTTTTCTATTGGTTGCCTTGAAAAGAGAAAAGTAAATTTCACTTTTTCAGCAAACATACAGCGTATCAGGCACCCTGGACAAACTAGCTACTACCCCTACAGAGCTTCCACTCATAGGAACAGACACGCAAAAATAACAACACTGCGGGTGGAGCAGGGGATCAGGGAGGCAGCCAGGGACGGCTACCAAGAAGGTGACATCTCAAGAGGGGAGGAGAAAAGTGAAACGACTTGAGAGGAATGGAAAGCTAATAGAGAACAGGACACATAGAGACACACAGGCCTGAAAGCAGCTGGTGTCTGGGGACAGCAAGAGGCCAGGAAGTGACAGGAAAGGAGGGTACATGTCACGTGGAAGTAAGACAGATCAGCGCCAAATGTAAAGAGCCTTAGATGCCATCCAAAAATTTAGTCTATGGGCAACTAACAAAGGCTTTTCATTGTTTGTGTACTTTCAATCATACAAGTAAAACATAGATACATTTTCATTTTAAAAAATTCAAAAAAACCCAATGAAGGTGTTTAAATAAGAGGGTGGTTTAAACAGTGGGATGGAAAGAACGCAGCCTGGAGACAGGACCCTGCTTAGGAGGATCCTGAAAAGACAAGCACAGGCTGTGGGGCTGAAGGGGGAGGAACCAGAGAGTTCCAGCCAGAGTGACTGAGGAGACACTGCCGTCAGCAAATGCGGAAACTCAGAAGAGGCACGTGTGGCCAGGAACCAACCGTGCTGGGCATACTACAATTTGTGAATTAAAACTAACTGATTTGTGCTTCTATTACGTTTCATGTGAACGACGTAATTCAAATCGGCCCACGGAGGGTTTCACAGGGCAGCTTTCAACCGACCACCTCACACCTTCCTAGAGATAACAAATAGCTACAAAACAACCTCAAATCCTGTCAAGATCATCGCACACTGTGCTACAAAAACAGCCCAAAAATAAACTCGATGTGGAAGACAGTATTTGACTGTCTTTCATAACTTCAATTCTGCATTTTTGGGTTCATCAAAATGGTCTCATTTTCCCTACGTTTTGATCTTATAATACATAAACGTTACAAATAGAAGTTTATAAAATACATTAATTTATATTATACTTTTAGTAATGTTTTTATGAATAATATATATTAAAGGTCTAGTTAAGGTTTCATTTTAAAAAAGAATTACACTGCTGAAATTTTTCGCTTTTTAGTCTTTTGAACTTTGAACTCTTTAGTCTAAACATCTTTTAAGATGGCAATGAAATCAAAAGGCACATAATAACTTTAAAAGTTCTTTAAAAGGCAATTTCTTCAATTTAGCCAGACATGGAATCAACAACCAATGGGAGAACACACGTGCGTGCACAGCCATATGCACACACACACAGCTAAGGCAAGCGAAAGCAACAGTAAGGAAAAGCAGTGAATAAGACAAAATATTCCAAGAGTACCTTTATTTTATGATGTTCAACAAACTCTCCATAGGAGTTGACGTAGGCCACAGCCTTCTCCCTCAACGACAGCCTGTAGCCCCAGTTGAGAGAGCCGATGTGGTTCTGAATGGCTTCTGTCATAGTCTCCCAGTTGTGCTTCACTGAAAATAAATAACCAGAGTGGAGGCACAAAGGGGATTTTATTTTAAGGGTCAATTATATATAACTAAACATGACTCATATTACATATTTCTTTAAGAATCAAGAAGTGAACAAAAAATAATCAGCAACTTAAATCTTTTTTATGAAGTTACAGTTTATGCTTCTTATTTTATATTACAAAACAAAACATATGCAAAAAGCACAGTGCTCAAAAGAAGGAAACTGGGAAAACAACCCGAGGAGGAGAGGATGGGGAAAACCGGCGTTCCTACAGCGGTGCCGCAGTGTTCCGAAGCAGGAAGAGCATCTCCGCTCGGGAGCACCCCGAACACCTTGACCCCTTGAGGGCCTGCCGCAGGCGAGCGGCCTCGGGGGAGGGGGGAAGGGAACGTTCACGGGGGAAGCAGGTCTCAGGTGAGCGAGCACTGCGCATCTGCCTCACCACACTGCGGTCCACGCCCACCCAGTTCACCTGGCGGTGGTTGGAGGATAGTCAATATCCTACATTTCTTTACAAAAAATGTGGTTCTTGCTCACTGCTGCCTGCTTTATAGTTTACCCACAATGTTTACCCATTTCCTGTTGAGGCTGGGGTGGGATTCGATGACGCCAGGATCTCTCATCATTCCTGTATCTTCTAAGTGGGATTTGTTTCCTGGAATTCACCATGTCTGTTGACGCTGGACGCCCAAAGACTAACCCAGCCAACTGACAGCTCGCCCTCCGGTCACATCTGGAGACTCACCCCACCTAGCGGTCTCCAGGAGTGATGAGCCCCACTGCTTACCAGGGACATGAGATGTTACAGTGCAGGAAAAGGAAAGCGGTCAGAGTGCGCTGAGAGGCTCAGCCAGTGTCAAGGCTTGCGGCCTGCCCGCCCTTTCTAGGATGCCAGGTACCACGAAGTCTCCTAAGACTCTCAATCCAGAGGGGTCATTCTCGTCACTACGCTGCCCACCCCGTGACCCCAGAAGTTATGGCTCAGCAGTGATGACCCTCTCTTCACGGCACTGACCCTCACATCCTGATACAGCCTCCCCACTCCCCCAGAAAAGCTACTCTTCCAACCCTTAAATAACTATTTACTCCAAGGACCTTGCCAGTTAAATTCACACTTCACGTGTCCTTTTGTTTCTGGTTCCTGTTGTGAAAGACATTCTGTATCAGAGCTTCCCAAACACAGCCGCACATCAGCATCCCTTGAGAACTGTGAGGAAATATACAAATCCTAGGATAGGCCACAAAACCTCCAGTCAGGAGTGGGGCCTCAGGCCCAAACAGGTAAAAAACGGACCCGTACTGCAAGTCTGTGCACTGGCATTTTGGAATCACGTGCTCTAGCATTTTATTAATCTGTTTACTTCTACAACATCATCACAGTTTTAAATACTGATGGAAAAAGCCCCTGTCTACATTTTCTCAGAGGTAGCACAGCTATTCTCACACGTTTGTTTTTCAATACAAACTGGGGGGCGCAGCAGTTAAGTGCACACGCTCTGCTTCAGCAGCCCAGGTTTTGCCGGTTCGGATCCCGGGCGCAGACATGGCACCGCTTGGCACGCCATGCTGTGGTAGGCGACCACATGTAAAGTAGAGGAAGATGGGCACGGATGTGAGCTCAGGGCCAGTCTTCCTCAGCAAAAAGAGGAAGATTGGCAGCAGTTAGCTCAGGGCTAAGCTTCCTAAAACAAAACAAAACAAAACAAAACAACTTTAGAATAATCTGTCAAGTTCCAAAAAGAAAAAGAATTAATTGAGATTTTTCCTGGACTTATGTGAAATTTACAAATTAATTTTGAGATAATGTTTTAACAATATTGAGATTTCCCCTCCAAGATCATAGTATATTTTTTGTTATGCTTTTATAGTCTTTCCTTGTATTTTTTGTACATTCCTAGTTAATTTATTCCAAGTTATTCTATCGTTTTTGTTGTAATTTTCCATTATATTTTTAATTAGTTATTGCTGTTATGTAAGAAATCTATAGATTTCTGCACATTTACCTTAACAGCAGTCAACATATTGAACTTTTTATTAGTTCTAATATTTTTAGTTCAATCTCTTGCATATTATAGGTATACTGTATATAACTCATTATAAATTTAAAACATCTTTTTCTTCCTCCTTTTCAAATATGTACTTTTTCTTTCCTCTTCTTCCTTTTTGTGCACAGGCCAGAAGCACCAGAACAATCAGGGCGTTAGTAGTGGACATGGGCACTGTCTGATTCTTGACGTTAATGGAAACGCCTCAAGCTCTTCTCCATTAAATACTTGCTTCTTTTTTCTCATCATGTAAAGGAAGGGTTCATTTCTTTGCTTACATTTACTGACAGATTTGTTTTGTTTTGTTTTGTTTTGGTGAGGAAGATTGGCCCTGAGCTAACATCTGCACCAATCTTCCTCTATTTTGTATGTGGGACACCCCCACAGCATGGCTTGATTCGCAGTATGTAGGTCTGCACCTGGGGTCCAAACCTGCAAACCCCCGGCTACCGAAGTGGAGCATGCGAACCCAATCACTATGCCACCGGACCAGCCCCCTGATAGTTTTTTTAAAAAGCAGGAACGGCTGTGGGATTTTTAGCAACTGCCTTTGGAGCTGCCATCCAGGTCATCACATGGATTTGGTGTGCTCCTCCTGTGATTTCCTTACACTGACACACTCTTGCATCTTCAGAATGAACCCGCTTCAGTCACAGTGCGTTCTAGTACAGTCTGGAGAGGATTTGCTAGTGCTTTCTCTAGAGTTTTGGTACCTCTATGGGCTATAGCTTTCTATTTTTACACTATCTTTTTGTATTATTGTCATGTCAAGACTAAAAAAAAAGTGAACTTTTCCATCTTTTTCTGAGTTCTAGTACACTTTAAATTATAGAGAAAGCGTCTGTTTCTTGAAGATTTGAGAAAATTTACCTGTATATCTATGGTGTCTTTTGGGGAAGAGGTTGCTCTTAGACAATGCTTTCTTTGATAATTCAAGTCAATTCTGGTCATTCATATTTTCCTGGAAGATATTCCTTTTCATCGAGACATTTAAATAAATTCTTACCACTAATTTGTATATGGAATTTGTTTTCTCTCTTCTCTATCTGTAGTTATATTTCTTTTCTCGGAACTAATGTTGCATATTTAGAAGAACCTTCTCCCCTTATTTCCTTGATTGGATTTGCCAAAGGTCTGCCTACCTTTTTTGTATTTTCGAATATACTCTCGGTTTTGTTTATCAATTCTATTTTGGGCAGGTGCTAACTCCTTAATTCCTAGGATTTGTTGGTTTTTTGCCTTGTGGTCTACCATCTGCTATTTACTGCCATTGCTTTGGTTTGCATTTCCCTGATATAGCTTTTCCCATCTATTTAAAATTCAAAAATTCCTATATTTTCAGCAATGACCTCTTTTGGTTTTAGGTGTATGTCTTGTAAAGAGCACATGGAAGAATTTTGCTGTGTACCCAACCTGAGAATCTGACCCATTCAGCTTTTTCTAATATGTAAAAGACCGCTCTTGTGTCTGCATCTTATTTCCTGTTTTTTAAAATTTATTTGTTTTAAATTACAGTGTCATGCTATTTCTTTGTACATTTCCCTTTTCCCTTTCTTTTACTTGGAAGTTTTACATTCAATTTCTAATCTGGAAATTATGTACACATTTTAAATTTATTTTAATCTCTATTTCTCTATCAGCATCAAGAAGGAAAGTATCTACAACATTCTCTAAGAACAAGATTTCAGCCTGCTTTTATTCCCTTCTCCTGCCTCTCAGATTCGGTTGACTTCTCTTGGTTGTTCATTGAGCCTACACCTAAACTTGCTAAGCCCCAAACTCCATGTGATGGCTGGCTAGGCATTTTTTGGTATGCCACCTCAAAATTAACTCAGAAGCATTTTGTATATGGCGAACTTCGAGGAATCTAACATAAGATTTTACCCACTGAAAGAAATTAAAAAGTATTTAGAAATATTAAGCACTCAGAAGAGTTCAAGAACGTCACCTGGTCCCCCAGGTGCGGCAGAGCGGGGCAAGCATATAGCCCACTGTGCCCTCCCCGGAAGCACAGGGTCCCAACAGTGGGAGGCAGTGGGCACAGCGAGGCTGACGCATCAAGAAGTCATGAGCTCACGGGGAACCTTGTGTCTGGTCATCCACACGTCACCTTGCCTGGCTGTCCCCTCTGTCACAGGCCGAGTGTGCAGTTCTGTCCTTTGTGGCCTTTTCCCAACCACAGTGGCATTCCATGTTTTCTCCCATCTTGGAGTTGATTATTTTAGAAACAGGGTTTGAACATTTTTAATTTTAAAGAGAAACTCCTTAACTACCTAACTACCAATCCAAAAGGTACATAATTCAAATCCTATTCCATTCAGTCTTTCTGCAACATTTCACTCAAGTTAGTTCTTTTTTGAGACTCCTCAAGTCCTAATCTCGCCCTTAAAAATCGAACCCCTCCTGGCTTCTGTGAATGAGTCTCCTGGTTCTCCTCCTTTTCCTCACCCACTCATCTGAGTTATTAACACAGCCCAGGGTCCTGTCTCTGTCTTCTATTCTCTTCCATCCATAGGTCCTCCCCGGACCATCTCAGCCATTCCTAAGACTCCAACTCTCACCTCCATGCTGACTCGAAACCCAGGCCTTGCCCAGACTTATCTCAAGCAAAAGCCATTCCAGATATCTATCTCCACCAGGATGTTCCGAAAGGACTTTAAATGGAACATCTACACAAGATCAAAGAGTCAGGAAAAGGATTCTTAAAAGTGAAGACCACCCAGAAGTGAAACTGCCGAGTGAAGAGACCTCATTTTACCTACAACCAGTCTGCAGTTTCACTGAAAGCTCACCACGGAGCTGACTGTCGGGGCAAACTTGTCCAGCCTCAAATCATTATGTCCCCCACACCAGCGACTATCCCAAACTTGCCTGTGTTCTCTATCTCAAGGAATGCACTACATTCTCACCCAGTCCCTCTGCCCGGATTCATTCCTCTCCCTCACCTCTACCCTACTGAGGACATGGACGGCCTGGCGGGATCACCTGTAAGTACCAGAATCATCTACGAAACTTTAAACACACACAGATCTACTGGATCAAAATCTCTGGAGAAAAAGTCCTAATTTTTTAAAAACTCCACACATTATTCTGGTCGTACAGAATCACCACTCCACATCTAACCTGTCAATTCTATGCCTGAATTCCTCTAAATCCATCTCGTACTTTCTAGTCCCACTTTGGTCTCTGCTCAGGCCTCGTTGTTTCTTCTCTGAGTTATACACCAGTGCCCCACCTCACTTCCCTGTCTTTGGACTTGACTCCCCCCACCTCTAGCCTTCTAAGCTCCCTGGCGCCATCAGAGGGATCCGGATTCCAAACTGTGGTCCATGTTCCTCTCCCGCTGAAACTTCTCCACAGCTCTCTTACCACCTTTGGGGGTAAATCTGAACTCCTTAACATGGCACTGAAGAGCTTTCGTGACCTCCTCTCCTCTCTAATCTCATTTCTCCCAACATCCTTCCTGGAGTCTTCACCCCAGCCACTCAGGAGCTGGCACAGAGTGGGCTGCTGACGAGAGTTTAGAAAACAAATTTCAAACTCAACTATAGTGAGTATTTCTCAAAGAAACTCATTCTTTCTTCTTTTCTCCCAGTCTCTATTTTTATAAACCATTACCCACCTTGTTGATTATACTCCCAGCCAAATTTCCTTGAGTCAATTAAGGCCTGCCCCAAAAGGGCAGCTTGATGCATCAACTTCTTAGGAATGCAGCCTACGTTTACACAAGTACCACCAAGACCTGAGAAATAAAATAACAGTTTTAACATTTTGCGTGTGTGTGTGTGTGTGTGTGTGTGTGTGTGGGTGGGTGGATGGTTTTACCTACATGCGGAGTCGGTGTTATTAAAACGTGGAAACAACAAACTTGAATGGTTGTGGGTCAACATCACACCCTAGAATAACACACAAATGATTAACCCAAACTGTTTAAGAAGGGCTCATGAAGGAGGCCCAAGGATAAGCAAAAATGCAGATGTGTATTTGAATGGTTTTCTGGGGACAGAGTCCAAAACTTTGATCTGAGTCTGACCTACAAAGGGATCAGAACTGTATTAGATTAATTAGATACGCACTACACCAAAGGCCAGAACCCCAGCTTCCAGCCTTTACTCTCTGCAACTCTGACTCCTTCTCCGAGCCAACAGCAGGTCCACTGCAAGCTGCCTGGTGACATCTACTCGGAATTTTGAACCACATGCAACAGGTCATATGTAAGTGCCCCTGTGCAAAGCATGAGTCCACAGATTCCCTCTCTGATCAGTCTCTTCTGGTAATCCAGATAAGTAGGATATTTCTGAACAGGAGAAGAAGGCAGGAGAGGAAGAGGGAAGGAGGAAGGAAGAAAAAAGACAAGTGTACACACACCATAAAAATATGAGAAAAATCAAGGTAGGTGAGGTTTATTATGTGAAATTCTAGCCTTAAATTTTTTTGAGTAAGTTTGAATTTTAAAAAATCATTTTCATACTTTGTCAGGGTTCCAGCAGGAAAGAGATGACACTCGGGCTGGGTAACTGAGGAGAGCTTGTAGAGAAATTATTACAGGGCTGCGGGCAGGAAGAGAAGGAGGGACAGAAGAATGGGGCCAGCACCAACCCCACGTGAAGGGGCAAGCATACTGAGTGAGTGCCACAGCCCAAAGGCGGACCGCCGTGACAAGGGCTGTGGCCTTCCACAAGGAGAGGGACCCAGCCTGCGGCGACCAGCAGCGGGAGCTAAGGGATGAAGACCCTACCGCTACTCTCCTCCCTCCTTCTGTTCTTTTCCTGTTACCCCAAACTGGCCAAGCCCAACCAGAAGCCAGACGGCAAGGCTGCCAATTCATCAGCCTCTGGGGCATAAAGCAGGGTAGAGGCAAGGAGAACGGACTTGAAGCATAAACAGAAAATATCCAGCACAAAAATCTATGTGTTCTATTTTATAGTGAAAAGAACATGGAAAGGTGAGCACTCTCGTCTACAGCAAAGTCACAGGGCTGGGAGCTCACTGTGCATTTATTAAACACACACGCTAACTCGGCAGACCATGCTGCAGCCAGGAGAGTCAGTTATGAAATCAATGCAGAAAAACAGGAAAACAGAATGGCAAACTTAGGTGAGAAGGACACAGTGTACACTGTGACCACAACTATGTGAACCCATTAGTGCATGTGTGCAAAATAATTACGGCATAAGTGTCAGAATCCTGGGATCATGGAATTTTCTCCTTTTCGCAAAATCTTCCTTAATTATTTTTGTATTATCTTCCCAACTTCTCCACTTGTTAACTATGCGATCTTAGGCCACTTACGGAACCTCACTAGACTCAGTCTCCCCACCTGTGAAACAGGCTGGTTATACCTCTTGAGACTGTTGTGAGGATTAAATGAGACTCAGCAAAGCCAAAGAAGCATGTAAAGAGCAGAGGGTAACAACAATCGCAACAACGAAGAAAACAGCTTACCCCAGGACGTGCCCTGCGGGGACGGCAGCACAAAGTCTAGCACCATAACTTTCTTTCCCAAAACGGCAGCTTCCTACAAAAAAAGCTACATATAAAGATGCTGTCATTTTCCTGACACTCCTCTAACTTTTCTTTCTCCTGGATGAAAATACTGTGTTTGTGTCAAAACACAGACTTTCTCTTTATTAAAATCAACTATCACAATAAAAGCTTAGACTGTAACATCAAAATTGGCTTTTTTTTTTTAAGTAGCAGAAGAAATGCTTATGGCAATCACCAGGAAAATTACCTTCAAGTTTCATTTTTTTCCTACCTGAGCACATGCAAGGCCACCAGAACCGCCACCAATGACAATGAGGTCATAGTCATATGCTGAATCACCCTGAAGGAGCTTCTCTAATACACCACTCTGATGTGCCTATGGTTTAAGGAAAGGAGAGAATACGGTATGACTTATTTTAAAACTGCTTCTTTGCATGCTACCTCCATCAGCATGGATTTCTTTTAAAAAATCTTAGAAACAATCTATACTAATTCATGTAAGTTGAAATTGCAACTTTATCTGGATGTTATTCAAATAAGGGCCAACTACTCAAAACACATGGCAAAGCACATACATTTCTGTTTATCACCCAATAGGTAGGGATGCGTCAAATGACCCAGAGCTCACGGCTTTACATCTACATCAGACGAGGTCATTTTCCTTGGTCTAATCATCAAAATATCATAACCAAGTGCAGTTAAATAACCAAGTGCCATTTTTCAAGATCCTCTTTATCTTGTTCACCTGAGCTAGGCTTCATTTCGAAAACAATCCTCACCCATCATCAGCAGGACATGCACTTCAAATACTTTCATAGTTTCTCATAAATTGACCTAAATTTTGCAGCTCACTGGTGAGCTTCCTATACAACACAAACATTTTGCTTTTTCTTTCAGCAGTGGTCATGAGGCTGGCTCTGCACCATACTCTCTTGTTCACTTGTGATCAGAAGTAGCTTAGATGAGGCTAGAGGTTCAATACGTGATTTAAGGGGCCAGCCTGGTGGCACAGTGGTTAAGTTTGCACGCTCTGCTTCGGCCACCCTGGGTTCACAGGTTCACATCCCGGGTGCAGACCTACACACTGCTCATTGAACCATGCTGTGGCAGCGTCCCACATACAAAATAGAGGAAAATTGGCACAGATGTTACCTCAGGGACAATCTTTCTCAAGCAAAGAAAAAAAGAAATGTGATTTAACAATAGTTCTCTTTATGCAAAGTTGGTTGCTCAATCCCATTATGGTGGCTTTAGAGACACCAGGCTGGAACCAGCTCATCCTGGGAAGCAGAGTGGAAGCGCTACGTAACTATGGGGCTGAGCAGATGTCACGTGGGCCACCAAAGAATGGGTGCTCATGGAGGCTTTCCGCACATTCTAAAAATGACTCCTTTGGCCTCCTTACTTTGAGGTGCCCTTAGGGAAATCTTTCTCCTAAACATCTGCCATCCAAAGAAATGCCTTCCAGTCTTGAAATAGAATTGATAATTCTGTATCTCCAGATTCATCCTCTGACATCACTTTCCAGGTTAGGATTGGCAAGAGTAGCACTTCCAAAGATGTTTAGGGGTTATAATTATGTACTCACCACCAGGTGAATAAGGTTATAGCTCCTAGGACTAATAAAGCAGGCTGTTACTAGATAACAATGCTAATCATAGATTAACATACAACAAAATATGGTTTCTCAATAAAAACATAGTTCTTAATTAAAATCTCAAAGTATTTAATCAATCATTGCTTACTACCATTTGTATACATATATAAAAGGTACAAGAGCAGAATTTTAGTAAAAGTAAATAACTAGTTATAAAATAAGGACCTTATTTACTAAATATAAATTTTTATCTGTCACTACTTAACTGAATGATTCCTATTCATTTCTGCATTTTAGGAATCAAAAAATCAAAGCCCATGGGCCTTGGCAAAGCTCCAGGGGTAACATCCTTAAGAGGAATTCTACTTACCCTACACCAGAATGTTAGCGTTGACCTCATTTTACAGAATCTTAAAGAGATTTCTCTCCCCAAGAGGTAGAAGAGACCAGAGAGGTTCCCCGTGGCCCACCTGTTTGTCCTGGCAACCTCATTCAAAAACTTCTCCTTTTTAGCTTCTGAAGTTTGAGTTGGTAGAAAAGCTAATTTCCTTTAAAGTAATCGAGATGATTTGATAACCATCCTATATGCTTTTCGATTTTACAACTTCCAAAAGACAAACGAACAGAATTCTAAACCATTTTCTCCCCTTTTAACTATTTAAAAACAAAATTTGGGCAAGCAGCATTAAAGAACATATAATACTATTATTACCTGGAAAGTCTGCTCACATCCACCCATATGTACTTTATTCACGAAAATATTGGGTACAGTTCTCTGATTAGTGATCTCTGACAGCACTTCTTGAACACTGGCCCCATCATCTAAAGAATAAAATATTAAATATAGAAGAACACTCAAAGGGATCCAAACCTTTTGTGAGTTGAACTAAAGTGTTACAACTCTCAAATTCTCACATGGACACACCCACGGAAGGTGAGTGTCATATAACTTTCTGAAATGGTGACTCAAGAGAGAAAAACACCCAGATTTTCAAAGAATAAAGACCAATCTACTGATTCCTTTTAAAATAAACTCTTCTAAATTAGATTTTGACTTACAATTCAATGACTATACCGAGACAATAAATAAGAATCCTCCTTGAAGAGCAAATATCAAGATAAAATCTGCTTCAACAGTAATAACTCAGAAAATATTTCCTACAATTACATTTGAAAAATCTTTATGACCCTAGTCCACAATTTATCCCCGATCTCTAAAAATAAAACCAGGCAATGACTACTTAAGACTACCCTATTTGGTATATTCTTTAGAAAAGTCTCAAAGACGCGAGAACATTTCACTTATTAAAGCAACTTGGCTAAAAGGAGTTGGTGAAGCCCCACGAAGGCAGAGATCACATTCTTCATGCGTATGTCAAGTGCTCAATTAATATTAGATGGTGGATGCATGGATGATAAAAACTCAAAAGTATAAAGCTAGAAAACTAATGTGGTTCGCCTCATGGGTAATACAATCAGGAAATAGGAGAGGATTCTCTTCATTTATTACAGCTTAGTCTTTTTTGCTAGAAAGTTGGAAGATACATCTGAAATGCCTGAAGTACTCCAAGGTCACCAGCTTATACATCTTCCTCCCACTCCCTCCCTTCAAATACAAGAAATATGTAAATAAAAGAATCTACACCAAATCCTTTGTCACGTAGAGGTTCATTTTCTGCATAGGGGAATGTAAACGAAAAGAGCTCATCTAACCCAAGAGACAAAAGTGAGCTGAACTGAACAAAGCAAATGGACAGAAGTCAATCATGCTGACACTTACTACAAACAAGAGTGTGTACTAACCATTGTACTTACCAACTTGATCAAGTTCCAAGATATGGCATTCAACTCCCAAGGAAGAAAAGAGTTCTTTAACCTGGAACAAAAATTTACCTAAGTTTTACTCTCACAAAGATTCAACAGAGTTATGAAATCTGAGCATGGTAATAAGGGAGGTCCAAAACAAATATTCTTCAGAAATATGAGCTCTGGCCTATGTTTTTTTTCTCCCTTTCTCTAAGTATCTTCCCAGGATAATCTCAGCCCATCTCTTCCCTTCTTTTACAACCTGTATCCTTAACTTCCAAATCTACAGCTTTTGCCCAAATCTCTTGTCTGAACTCAAGACAGGCAATATATATTTCTCCACCTGAGTGTCCACAGGCATCTCACATCACATCCACCCATATGTACTTTAATTTGACCTAAATTTTGCCCAAATGACCAAATTTTGCCAAATTTTGCCTAAACATGCCCAAAATGAAATTCATCTTTTCCCACATATCTTTTCCTCTTTCTGTGTTTCCTTTCAACAGTCAATACATCATTAAACAAATATTTATCCATTAAACACCTACTATGGGTCATCCATTGTTCTACATACTCAAGATACAATGAACAAGACAATCCCTGCCCTCTACTAGGGAAACAAACAAGTAAACTGACAGTTTCACTCTGCCACCATTCACCAGTTGCCTGAACAGAACACGAAACCCTAGGACCTTGCTACTCAAATAGGACATGGAGGACCTGCAGCATGGGCATCTCCTAGGAGGCTGTCAGACATGCAGAATCAGGCCCTGGATGAGAATCTGCATTTTGACAAGTCTGCAAAGCACTGATCATGAGTCATTCTAATGTTCTCTCTTGTAACATCCTCCTACCCCACACTAACTCCCCATCCATCTGATTAATTACTAAGTCTTAACAACTCTCTGTGTTGAACTAGTTCATCTTTCTAGTTCCTCACAGTTGCTATGTTAATTTAAGCCACCAGCAACTATTACTGGAATTTCTGTTACATCCTAAGAGTTCTCTCTGCATCCAGTTTCGTCCCCTCCAGTTCTCTAAATTACAGCCAAAATGGTTTTTCAAAGCCAACTTTTCATGATTACTTAAACCCTTCAATGCCCTCAACCCTCAAGATAAAGCCCAGAGGTTCCAATGCCAGCATGGAGGCATGAGGAGCTTCACAGACCTGCTCCATGGCAAACACCTACAGTTGGTGAAAATTATTAAAAAGCAACCATTTAAAGGCTCTGGAAGTTGTCCTGAGGGCACAAAGCAAATTAAGAAATGTAATTATTCAAGAAAATTTACTAGACGTCACTAAGAACAGGGAGAGTCTGAGGCACTGAAGCCATAACCTGCACTCTCCCTCCCCTGCCCTAGGTCAGCTTGATGGAAGCTCTACCTCAGGTGAGAGTGGCTAAGAAAAGGATGCTTCCTCGTGCCTGAAATCCCAGGATCATAGGGGCAGGCCCCCATCATTTCTCAATTCCCCCACAGCTCTGAGTGGCAAAGGCTAAGTTCCTGGAGAATGTAGCCAACAACACAGGGGCTCCCTTCCTCCACCCAGCCCCAACTAATAAGCAAAAATATTAGGGTCCTGATTATCCTCACCCCAGCCCACCTGAGCTTCCAGGCTGGGAGAGGCACGCCGCGAAGACCAGAGGCTACTGCCCCCACCCAGAGCCCTGATCATAAAGCAGGGCTGTCAATCCAAGAGAATCGGGGCACTGTCCCCACCCCTAGCTCTGGAGCAAGGTCTCAGAGATTTTTCTCAGAGGAAGAGGTAAACCATTAGATCAGAAAGCTCCAAAGCTCTACTCAAAGGCACTGACTTTATTGAAAGACTGGGAAGAAATCTAAGTCTAAAGACATTCTTGAAAACAACAGAGATTTTGGTGGTAAGCAATTAAGAGGAGGCTGGTAGCTCCATTAAAGTGACAAGCTAAACTGTAAGCCAGCTAGTTTACCAGAGAGAAGCAAGGAAGGAGATACCTAAGGATAGCCCTTCTAGGGTCAGGACAAACCTCAAATATGCCTTAAAAGCTACTCTTGCAAAGAGGCCCAGATTTAATTGGATCAAAGTATGGAACAGCTTACATCCCAGCGCATTGACAAAAACTACAGAGCAACCAGCCTGCAATTAGTGGAGCCTAAGATCTGGGTGTGATACCAACAGAGAGACAATATAATACAGACAGTCACTGAGAGCCCTGCTAATATCCCTGTCATCCCAGGGTTACTGTGCGTATACCCAAGGCTGCACCCTCTGAGGAGTGACATCAGAGGCTCCATCTTAAGGGGGAAATAAACTTCCCTCAAGGAATCTGGCCAACTCACTATAAAGAAATATACAGGCAAACAAAAACAAGCCACAAAGAAGGAGGGGATCAGTATCTGGAATTCCTACAATATATTACCTAAAATGCCCAGGTTTCAACAAAAAATTACAAGACATACAAAGAAACAGGAAAGTGGATCCAGACACAGGAAAAAAAGCAGGCAAGAGATCCTGCCTCTGAGAGGGCCCATATGTCATGCTAAACAATAAAGTAGTCATTGTAAATACATTCAAAGTATTAAAGAAAACTATGCTTTAGGAGATAAAGGAAAGGAGATGATAATGTCTCATCCAGTAGAAAATATCAATAAACAGATAAAAATTATAAAAAGGAACCAAATAGAAATCATAGAGTTGAAAAGTACAATAACTAAAGTGAAAAGTCCAGTAAAGCATCTTAACAGATTTGAACTGACAGAATTACCAAACTTGAGACTAGATCAATAGAGATTACATAATCTCAAGCTACAAAGAGAAAAGAATGAAGAAAAATGGACTGAAGGAAAATGGACAGAGCCGCAGAGAAATATGGGACACCACTAAGCATATCAACATATGCATGGTGTATACACCAGAAAAAGAGGCAACGAATAGAAGAAATAATTGAAGAAATATCCAAAATATGTCCCAAATTTGATGAAAAACAGTAATCTACATATCTAAGAAGCTAAATGATCTCAAAGTAAGATGACTTAATCGGAGCTCTGGAAACTGATCAAAAATCTACAGCAACAAAGTGAACACTCAATCAGGAAAATGCCACACTTGAAATGGCAGCATTTTTACCCTCCTTTGCCCCACCCACTCCCTCATGAGGCATGGCCCAGTAAGAGGAGAGCAGCAGCCCAGGCCCCACTTCTATTCCACACAATGAAGAGAGCAGATAGGATGGAATTTCCAACATTCTATTAACCTGTCTCAGGGCTGCCTGAGGAATTGGTCTCTGTAATATCTAACTCAGAGCTCAAATGGCCCAAAGTAGCCAGAATTTAAGGCTAGAGGAAGCCATGAGGAGCAGGGGGTGTGGCTCACGAAAACCAAAGTGGGCTACAAATCTGTAGACACCTACCTAGGGGCGAGAGATTATAGGCAGAGGAATACATTGTAACAGCCAAGAGCCCAAGAAGCAGCAGGGGAGAGACTCTTAAGGAATTTAAGATGCTTTAAAGCAGCCACATATATAGGAGAACTGGGCCCAGGGGTGAAAAGCACACATACAGGCCCAAGGAAGATGAATGCCCAGAAAAGGCCTGAGAAGACCTTAAGCCTTCATGCTTCACTGATTAGTGAAAGTCTTCCCCAGGACGGAGCCAGTCTGCAAAGACTGGGAGAGGAGGCTGTTTTTTATAATGCCAAGTGTTCAAGAAAAGATCATATGCAGACAAAAAAGTAAGAAAACATGGCCCATTCAAAGGAAAAAATAAATCTCCAAAACAAGGCTGAACAAACATAGACTTCATACCTGATAAAAATAAATGAAAAGCGATAGGATACATTGGAATATATGAGAAAGCCATTTGGTTTAAAACTAATTTGGCCTGACCTTATTTCTCCAGAAAGGCCTGACATGGTCTGTTGAGCACACATTCTACATCCGCTTTAAATATTTACTATGTCCCAAAGACAAGAACGATGCCCTTAAAGATAGGGATAGCTTCCCCCACATCAGCATTTCCTTAAGGATAAGCATCTTTTCCTGGAAACAAAGGATTAATTACTGACAGGCTGTGCTCACCTTGTGACCACCACTGACCTGCTGTGCTAGCAAAGCAATCTCACGACTGTTGTAAAAGGGACATTCCTGTCATATGCGATGTATGCTCTTTGTTCCAAGACGGTATATAACCAAATGAGAATATCAACAAAGATAGAAATAACCTAACACAAACTCCAAATGTGAAAAATACAATCATTGAATTGAAAAATTCACTAGAGGAGTTCAACAGCAGGCTTAAACAGACAGAAGAATCAGTGAACTTGAAGACAGGCCATTTGAAATAATTAAGCCTAAGGAGAAAAAAGAAAGAAGAAAAATGAACATAGAGTAAGAGACTTGATGGACACCATTAAGATGGAACAACATACATGTCATGGGAGTCTCAGAAGAAGAAAGGGGCAGAGAGCTTATTTGAAGAAATGATGTTCAAAAACTTCCTGAATATGAGGAACAATGTGGATATACAAATATGAGATGCTCAAAAAACTCCAAGAAGAATAAACCCCGAGACTCACACCAAGACACATTACAATCAAACTGTCAAAACCAAAGACAAAGAGAGAATCTTGAAAGCAGCAAGAGAAAAGCAACTTGTCACATACAAGTGATCTTCAATAAGATTATCAGTGGAGGGCCGGCCCCATGGACGAGTGGTTGAGTTCGCATGCTCCACTGCAGGCAGCCCAGTGTTTTGTCAGTTCGAACACTGGGTGCGGATATGGCACCCATCATCCGGCCATGCTGGGGCGGCATCCCACATGCCACAACTAGAGGGACCCACAACTAAGAACGTACAGCTATGTACTGGGGGCTTTGGGGAGAAAAAGGAAAAAAATAAAATCTTTAAAAAAAAAAAAAGATTATCAGTGGATTTTTCAGTAGAAACCTAACCAGCCAGAGGCAGTGGGATATGTTTAACACGCTGAAAGAAAAAACTACCAACCAAGAATTCTATAGCTGGCAAAAAACTGTCCTTCAAAAATGAGGGAGGGTAAAATTGGGGTGACTTCAGCATCATTGTGGACTGAAT